CGAGACGTCATGGCGAGACGCCAATGGCGAGATGCCAATGGCGAGACGCCGACGGCAATACGCCGACGGCAAGGCGCGGACGGCAAGGCGCCGATGGCAAGGCGCCGACGGCAAGGCGCCGACGGCAAGGCGCCGACGGCAAGGCGGCCGACGGCGAGGCGGCCGACGGCAAAGCGGCCGACGGCGAGGCGGCCGACGGCAAAGCGGCCGACGGCAAAGCGGCCGACGGCGAGGCGGCCGACGGCAAAGCGGCCGACGGCGAGGCGGCCGACGGCGAGGCGGCGGACGGCCAGGCGGCATACGGCGAGGCGGCCGACGGCGAGGCGGCCGACCTAGTTGAAACCCTACGGATACGTGTTGTCCTGTTGGAAGTCCTCGCCCAGGCTCGCTCAGACCGGTGGCGGGAACGGGCGGGAGGTGGGCAGGGAAATACACACACAGGCACGTTGTTAACCAGCTAGCAGGGGACGCAACGAGCACAGACTTTGCACAGCAAAACGATATGGGCAGTTGTGCACAAAATGCAGAAACGTACTAATACGCACACAGGTGGATCGCGGGCAGTTTCGAATTCTCCATCGCAAGTAAAAACAATAGCATCCCCAGACATACCCACACATACGTATACATGCGGGCGCATATACACACACATACACACACACACATACTCTTACACACAACTACACACACACATACTCTTACACACAACTACACATACACACACCCGCGCGCGAGAGCACATTCTCACCCACATTTGAACACCTACCTACCTACCTACCTACCTACCTACCTACCTACCTACCTACCTACCTACCTACCTACCTACCTACCTACCTACCTACCTACCTACCTACCTACCTACCTACCTACCTACCTACCTACAATTGCGCACAAATACAAGACACTGAAGACCGCAACAATAACCATCGGCCGGCTTTGCAGCTTCTTTCTGAGTTTGCTGACCTTAGCTTTGCAGTTTTCTGCCTTTGTGCTTTTGCTTTTGCTGTCGCTGTTGCTGCTTGCCGGCACGACAGGAGAAAAACACCGCGCCACGAAACACCCACAGCAAGAAACTTTGCTCCGAACGTATGTACGACATCACTACATCACGAACGGACACAAAGTGGCACCCACGCAGTGAACATACGGGGAAAGACCTTCATGCCGTACTCCCTACACGCCGTACCTTGCCAAGGTACAACAACTTCATACCGAAATCCCCCTCCGTCACCAACTCGTCTATCCATGTGCAACGCGCCTTCAACCATAGAATCCAAGAACGATGGCCGACCTTGATACGACGTGTAACGGCCTCACGGCCGGAAATCTAGACGCGTCCTAACAAACATACGACATGTACGGGCGACCGTGCATCCGGCGTCACTCACCAGCAGCGGAAGACGATGTGAGCTTGACTGCGTTGA